CTGTCAAAATAAAAGTACGGTTTAACATGTGACAGAAATATATTACTCTTGTATTACTTTTGTAAAGTATAATGTACATCTTTAAATATTCTATCAAATTTAAATAAAACAATTAAATGATAAAAATAAATATTACAACCAGATTAATCACTAATTGTAGAAAAAAAAATACAATTATTAGCCTATTAAAAAAATGTTTTAAAGGAATATTCACACAATTTTTCTTCCATGTATTAATTTCAACAGTAAACCTCAGTTTGTTTGCCAAAAAAATAAAAGGGTTTAATTTTCATTTGATTTAAAATAAATGTTAAATGCCTTCATTTGATTTTCAGAAAAATTCAGAAAAAATAATTTCTGGGGGGGAAAAAAAAAGAAAGGAATAGTTTGTAGGGCCCTGTTGTTCAAAATGTTGAAATGGAGACTTTTGGATGTATTTTTTTCACTGAAATAAATGTTTTTGTAATTACACAGACTGTGTAAAAGTATTACACAAAAAGTAACCATTGGGTACCGGCAACCAAAATGCAGGTACCGATACCGGTACCGTACTGGTTAAAATGTGAACGGTACCCAACACCAGTGATCAAATTTTCTGCTGTGTGCATGCATTGGATGCAATGGCACCTTTTAGTCCTAATGAGTCAGTTTTAAGCGATCCAACCCAAATATGCATATTTTATGTTCAAATGACAGTTATAATCGCTGGCTAATGATAATTGTAGGATTTTTATGTTTTTGAAAGAAGTCTCTTAAGCTCACCAAGGCTGCATTTGTTTAATTAAAAGTGCAGTTAAAAATACAATAACAGTAAAATATAATTTATTCCTGTGATGCAAAGCTGAATTTTCAGCATCATTACTACATCAGTCTTCAGTGTCACATGATCCTTCAGACATCATTCTTCTAAGATCCTGATTTGCTGCTCAAGAAACATCATATTATTATCACTGTTAAAAACAGTTGTGCTGCTTAATATTTTTGTGGATACCATGATGCATATTTTTTCAGAATGTTTTGTTTAATAGAATTACATATTTTTTTAGAAATGGAATATACATTTATTTGAAACATATCTGAAAGACTTTACTGTCATTTTTGATAATGCTGGATAAAAGTATTATGTACTGACCCAAAACCTTTGAACGGTAATGTACAGGAAGCTATTTAAGGGGGCCCATACATCTTTAGTGAAGTAACTATAAATCTATATGATTTATTGAAGAAAAGAACATTATTTTTTAGCAATTTATTGCATTTATCGTCGCATCATCAGATTTTTTAATTTAAAAAACATACAGAAAAAAAAGTGGTTTCTATTATTGGTGTTTGGAGGGGAGGTGCTGAAAAATAAAAGGTTTTGGTAAAAATTGAGGTGGAGACATTTTTATTCCATTTATTATAAGACAAACTTCTGTTTTCTTTAAGAAAACATGCACTGATAAATTGAAAAGTACATTTTGGTTTTATGTAGATGTTAGACTGAGTCTGGTGAAGTCTGTACATAGTGTAAGTGTGTTTTGTCATACTCCACTGCTTGCTACCTGTTGGAAAATATATCTTGTTACTGGTAAATCCACATTATTCAACCTGCTGAGCCACTGCTATGCTTCTGAAAATACAGTTACTAGTCTGTCTGCTCCCCACAGCCAGTCCTATAAGAAAACAGTGAAATAAAACGATATGTCCCACTCAATAATGTTTACGTGTCCAGCAAGATCTTATGGACTGGTTGAGATTACCTCACTGACAGCAGAAGAAAACTGCTTTATTATCCTGCCATAGCTGGGCTCTGTCGGGCCGCTGCTAACCTCTGAGGATGGCTGGAGAGCTGACTTGGCAGGCAGCGCTGTTGAGATCACTACACATGGCACACTTCCAAGAGCACAAAGCCATCAGCGTCAGCAGCCATCACTACAACAAACTGCTCTGTCACAATGGGTATGCAATATCAAGTCCTAGGACTATTCCTATGCATATGCTTAAAAGGAGTAGTTCACCCCAAAAATTTAAATTGGCTGAAAATGTACACAACCTCATGCCATCCAAGATGTAGATGAGTTTGTTTCTTCATCTGAACATATTTGGAGAATTGTAGCATTACAATACTTCACTTGCTCACCAATGGATCCTCTGCAGTGAATGGGTGCCGTCAGAATGAGAGTCCAAACAGCTGATAAAAACATCACAATAATTCATAAGTAATCCACACCACTCCAGTCCATCAATTAACATCTTGCGAAGTGAAAAGCT